CACAGAGTTTTCCACGTAAGAAACATTTTTGATCAGCACAATTTTGATTCACAAAGGCAAACTTCCTCTCTTTTACGGTTTCAAAGGGTCTTAGATTTTATGATGTCTAAGGAATGTAGACGGAAAAAATTAATAACATATTTCAACCCAGAAGAAGCTGGTTTGGCTCTATGTGATGATTGTGATATTTGCAAAGATTCTGTGGCAAATACACCTCTTACTAACTACTACACACCAAAAATCACCAGAATAATTGAGTTTCTTCAGGTTGTGGAAAGGCCCATCACTATTAAGTACCTGGCTCAAGTTGCATCTGGAAAAATGAATAAGAAAATTAGAGAAAATAGAGGTGAACACTCTTCAATTTTTGCAGTTTTCAAGTGTACTGTTAATGCATGTGACCTTTTCTTGCGACACGCTGTAACAAAGGACATACTAAGAGAGGTGCCACCTGCACATGGAGTGAACAATTGTTCCTACTTGCAGCTGAAACTTGGAAGCCAGTACTTACAGTATGTTAGTGGACAGACGAAGTTAATGTACCATTCCTTGTAAGGCTTGCAGGTTGGTGCCTGCATTACTGTCTCAACTGCTGATCCTTAAATTACTGTTGACCATTGACACCCCAACACCTCCAATTGGTTATTGTCTGGAATTAAATGGTCACAGCTAGAGTTTAAGGCTAATTTGTCATCAGTTACAGGCCAAAATAAAATTCAAATTACAGTGTAAGGCTATGAGACAAAGAATCAACCTAGGTTAAAATATTTCTACCTGAATAATTATAATTTTGACCTGTATCACTTAATGTATGGCGGAGGTAATTGGTCCACTAAGCTTTGTCTGTTAAGTATAATAACCAACATGCCTGAGTATTTTCTCTCACTTTCTATACTCTATGCCTTTAGCATTGTTAGTCTCGCTTGCTTTAGCAAAGCGAGAATCTTAAAATGCAGTTCGGTTTTTTTTTCGGTGGGACCTAGTTTGTAGGTCCCGCGTTCCTAGCGAAGACCGTGGAAACTTGGGATAAGAATCGTGACGACTTTCATTGTATGGAAATGAGTCTCGTGATGAGCATGTGGTTTATTTTGGGAGATGACTGGAATAACACGCAATGTTTATCACATTTAAGTGCTTTTCTTCCATGTAAGAAATCAGACTTTATCTTTTTCGTTAAAACAGGTTACGTTTCATGCTTATATGACATAGTAAGTCGATAAAATCGAAAGTGCAAAACAGACATAACAAAAAGTAAAACTGTAAACACGTGCTTTCTCTGATTAGTTATGGTAATTTGGTTCTGACCTCTATGACCTTCACGTGCGAAAAAGTAAATACAGCTAAACGTGACAGAAAGAATGGTTTTGTAAACACGTGTTCCGGGTCATTGTAGCGCAGAATCTGGGGATGAAAATCGACACGATGCTCTCAATCTCAGTGAACGCTTCGAAAAACAACGCGCAATTGTCCGAATGTTATGTTTTGAGACGAAAAAGTTCGAAAGTTTAATGGATTATACGGTGATGTCGCTTACAAATCCACACACCATTCGTGTAGACCCACTCTAAAAGATGTCGACCGTTTTCGGAATTGTTCGTTCCACGAATTCTGTCGTTTGAAAGCGTTGATAACTTTGAAAGAAGTGAATACATCAGATGTTGAAACAAGGAAGAATGTTCATGAGCAGAACTTCGATGATGAGGTTAAAAACAACAAGCAAATCGTCGTTAATTTACCTATCGTTTTCAACAGCCTGATTCTTTTCCTTTGTTTCATGATGCTGGATACTTAATTGTAACGAACAACGTGATATTTCGTACATCATTAATATTATTGTACAGGCGATGATAAATGTCGAGGAAACAAATCTTGGGCCGATTTTCGAATCTTTGAAACTAAAATGAAATTCAATGAAATTGCCTGATTTGACTAACCTGATCTAGAATTCTTATGTATTTGCGAAATACTGTAGGAAAACGGCATAAAAAAGAATTCAAATTCATTTTCGGCGAACGAAATTTACGGCTTCGAGACAGCACTTCCGTTTGCTGTCCATCGCAACAGATGATGACAGAAATGACGTATAAGCCCGGGGGGCACCCGGGGTAGTAAGGTAAAAGTGGTCAAGATCAGAGCAATAAAAGGTGATGGTAACCCTACACGACTTTTACCTCATGCCAAAATGCTGCTCGTTCCAATAAAGTTTTTTTCGTCTGCTGGGTAGATTATGCTCTGGAAGGTTCTACATTTTCACTGAGTAAATGTTATTTTACCCGCATGTTTCACACTGAGAGATCATGACACACATATCGATTTACGGTGGCTATTAGCGGGGAAAAGCGTTGCGTGACGACATTAAAAACGACTGTGTAGCAGACTATTTTGAAGCATGATGGTGAAGCTTTTTATTACGGCTGAATAAGGGTTCCAATTTTTCCAAAGTATCTTCTGGATCTGAATAACTAAGCGATTTTCTTTAGTCCATGAATGTAATGTTTTTGTGCAATGCTGTATCACGTTAAGCCCAACTCATTAGTTTTGTTTGGAAAATCTTAAATTATTACGGGTAGTGATTTACAAGTCGTGCGTACTGTTGCAATAAAACGTAATACTGAGTAGAGCGGAGGTACAAGGCACCTGTAATATCATCACGACTGAGCCATTCTTCGGTGGTTCCAACAATGTTACCTCTTGCGTCTTTGGCTGTTCGTCTTGCGACTGGGTAGTGGGAAGCCTTTACACAAGCGAAACCTGCTTAAAGAGATCGAAGACTGTTGGCATGTACGCAACAAATGTTCAGTCTTGAAAGATCTTCACTTCACTTAAAATTCTGTTGCCTTCGCATAGATCTCTAAGATCTTTAAAACTCCCTCCGCAGTTGATGTTTTGATTCCCGAATTAGCAGCGGTCTGTTGCTTTTGCGTTTCCGGTCTCATTCACTTCCGTCACCGAGAGATGCGGTTCACAACGAACTAAGTCACGTGGTACAAGTATCCTCCCTTATCCTTTTTTTACTCGCCACTTCGCGCTTCGGTCGCCCTTCGGGCGACGGTCTTCCGTCACCCTTCGGACGACCAGCTGTAGTGTGCACCAACGAGAATATAGCTTGCAGTTATTGATTTTCAAAATGGCGAACAGCAAAGTCGATCTGGATCAGGTAAAAAGCAAAGAAATCCTTTACAGTAGATTCATAAAGATCCCATTGGGCTAATTAATCATGCTAAGCGACAGGTATAAACATTTTTCGAAGTGAGACTTTAAATAATTAATTTGTTTATTCACACGCAACTCCTCTGGACCCTGTGCAGTAGATTGAAATCATAATTCAACTTTTTTTTTACTTGCTGTCGGTGACTCTGAGGAATTATGACGAACCCCTGGGGAGGACGACTCTGCATACGAAAGGCAAGGGATGCTCGTCGGAAATTTTGAATTAAACCCCTACAAGAGATCGATCCGTGCGTAGCCCAAGCTTTTTGACCACTGAGAGACTATGTTACTGAAAACTCAGACAATACACGTATTTTTATATTTTCTCACATGCAACCCTAAACAAGACCTTCACGGCTAAATATAATACTGTTTTGCCCACAACACCGTATATATGCCCCCCCGAGTGACGAACGCACGCGCTCTATTCGCCTCCTCACTTCTTATCTTATCTACAAACAAGCGAGACTCAACGCTACTTAGAGCGTTCTTGTTTTAACCTAGGAATACATGTAGTTCATGTGAGGGAAACTTCAATTATCAGTTACAAAGTGTAAGGCTGTAGTAGGGAAAAGTCTGCATTTCATCTCCTTAAAATGTTTTTTGAACAGCTCTTCTCCCCGCAACTGTGCATTCTGGCAGTCCTTGCGTAACTTCTGTTTCACTGATGGCAACTCCTTCTTGTTACTTGGGTAGGTGGGAACGTCCACTCTCCCTTTATCACAAAACCACTGTTCTTGTACAGCAAACCAGGCAACTTTAACATGCTCACTTGTTGAATCTGGTACATGTGTTTTTTTGGGCGATCTCACATCATAGGCAGCTTTGAAAGCTGCCTCAAGCTCTGCACAGAAGTCAAGAATAAGACTTATTCTCTCTAATCCCTGGACTGTTGCTTGTTTTTTTGCATACATCTTTGTTCTTCTTACCAGTCTCTCCTCTATGAATTCGTCATCTGCCAAATCATGGCCTGGACGACCTGACAATGAAATTGTTCTGTTTCTCCGTAGGGTTTCCCTCAATGCAAGGGGCCATGTACACATAATGTTCACAATGTGCACAAATGCTTCATCTTTGTAGTTCTTCTTGTTCATTGAAAAAAAAATCGGAGCCAAAAGAAAGTAACAAGCTTCCAGGGCTTTTCCATTACCACACCTAACACTAGTGTGGAAAAAGTCTAAAAGGAATAGATGATCTAATAGATTTTGTTTGTGGTATGAAAAAACTGCATCCCTGCTGGAGCTCTCGTCGCGCCATCCTTGGAACCTTCTGCATAATAGATCTGTGTCACCCTCACCATGGTGCAGCCGATCTTTGCTTGGAAAATAGACAGATGTTTCAAATTCTTTTACCACAGCAATGGCCATACCCCATGTAAAATCTTTCAATGCATCAATGTTGCGTTCCAAATTTCCTTCTTTAATTATTTTTTGGAAACTTTTTGATGTTACCTGATGTCTACCTAGCAACTGTCTCATCACATAATAGAATCCACCAGGGCCAAGCATTTTACCACAACATTGAGCTAAGTAGCCCTCCGTGTGAAAATCACCTGGCTTTTCCATGAAAGTTGAAAATTCATCAGGTGCTCTATTCCTGACAGATCGCACATTACTACAGGCGTTTTGGTCATCAAAAGTGATCACTTTCTTTCTTACACTAATCAACCTCGTCACTTTTTTCACTTTGGGGTCTATTTTCTGGTGCCACACCAGTCTTGCTAAGTTCCACTTCCCCTTTTCCATCAAGATATTCTGCAAAAACAGCCGCCGCCTCATTCACTTCTTCGTTTATGTGTTGCGAAATTGCTGCTTTAATGGCAGGGTTATCAATCGATTCAACGGGTCTGATGGCGGTGGAATTAGACCTGTAAATGTACCATGTGTTTTAGCATTGTATTTCAATAGCAACTGTACCATTTGAAACTGCTCTTTAATGACTGCGATCATAACTGGTGTTACACCACATCCCTCTGGTTTGTTAATTTCTGCACCAGAAACTAAAAGGCTCTCTGCTAGATGGAGATCATTTTCTTCAACTGCCAGGTGTAGACATGTGCGTTTAAACTGGTCCTCTAACAACAACCATTCACTTTGGCGCTGCCGCAATATCATGTCACTTTGCTGCAAATTCTTTCCACTGGTACAACTTTTAAGTTTTGCCATTGCATTTTTCATTGTTTGTTCAACTTTTGCACAGAATTCTTTAAAATTTAATTGTTTACAATTCCCTTCAGTAACTTCTACTTCTGAATCAGAGTCATGAACACTATCTGACGAATCTTCCCCTTGTTCATCTGTGATATGCTTATCGTTGTCTTCAAGGGTCTTCCTGAAAACTTTCATTTCTTCATAGTGATATTTTAAGCCTTGGTAGAAAAGGAATCGTTCCCTTGCTGCTGAAAGATTGAACTTTCCTGTCATGTGATCCTTTGGAATGTAATTACTTGAACGTTCACATTGAAGACCAAACTCTTTTGAATAATTTTGTAAGATGGATGCAGTTCCACTTGTAGTGGTTTCATCATCAATGGACAAAGGTAAAATCATTATCTCAGCTTTTTTCCCTGCATTTTGGGGGTAGTCATATTCCTGCTTTGGGACATTAACATTGTTTGAAAGTTTTGAAGGCTTCTGAAAGTTCTCAAGTAAGGTATTGATTGATTTTTCATCTCTGCTTTTCAGATCGTCAAAGGTGATACCAATGTTAAGGCCATAATGAAGCAACCTTAGCAGCCACTTGTGTTTGGCTTTTTCAATGATAGTGGACAGCTCCTTATGAGAATCTGTTTGAGAGTAGATTAAATTTAAAAATATATGAACCTCTCATGTGATATAAAGCCTGTGCAGTTCAACCTTCTGCATTCTGCATAAACAACCTGTTGAACTGCCTGTTAAAAAATCACTCTCCGGAATTTAGAGATCATACTTTTAATATCCCTGTGGGTAATGGGTTCCTATCAAGAATCATCATTGTGAAAACTTGTCAAAATCATATGAATTAGAGCACTAATTATAGTATGATTATTATAACCCAATATTATCATTAGTATCATGTGATGATGTACAGAAAGGTATGAAACAGAGCTATCTATATTATAAATTTCAAGGATGACATGGCAGCAACATGCCATTGTTACAAGAGCTGGAAGTTTTTATTCAATGGTCACTCAATTTAGGAAGGATCAATGGGATTTGAATAAAAAGCTTGGGTACATGACCCTAATGGTCTAAGCCAATGACCTTATAAGAACTAGCCAAGAGAATAACCATAACTTAACTGACACTTGGTTATTAATTCTGTGTAAAAGAATATGCAAATTAGGTCATCTGACCTTCAAAGGCTATTTTGCACGAAAAAACTTAAATTAGAAATGGCACCAGTTTATTCAAGCAGTCAATCAAAGAAGTTAATACCAAAAATGTCCCTAGGTGAACAACTAAACATCTGTCCATCAAACAGTTTTTGAATTTCGCCCCTTTTTAAAAGGGTAACTTAAAAGGCCTGGTCACCGAAATGATATACCTATTAGCCTCATCACTATAATAATAACTGCAACTTCCAGAAAGAAATGAAAAGTGGTCCCATTTTGCACTAATAATAGCCTTGATAAGTCACGTGATAATTAATGACTACAACCATAATTCAAAGATATTGAAGTTGCAGGTAGTCTGTTCTCAGGTTATTTTGTGCTATATTGAAAGCTTAAAAAGTTGGCTCTACCCCCTCTGTTTTTGAGGAATTAAATAGAAGACCCCAAACCTTAATTTTTCTGAAGAAGAAAAAATAGTAATTTAAGAGTATGTGTTTCACTGTAAGCATGACTCATTTTGACATCAACTTTACCTACAGTTATAATAACTACCAAATATGCAGTAAATTGATTCGAAATGTTAATAAGTTAAAACCATACATTATTTGCTAATACTAGATACCTAGAAAGATGTCCTCAACAGTTAGGGCCAATATATCTTTCTGAGGTTTACAAGCAGCTGTGTCAGGAATTTCCCAAGGATGTTCAATGCCATCAATATTGGGCTTCCGAGCCATACGCACGGTAAGGTTCCACATCACTGGTAGAATTTTTCTCTTCAGTCTAGAAAATCGGGCTTTACCCTTGTAGATGTTGATATTGTCATATCCTATTATCAGGGGTGTGTTAGAAGGAAAAGCAACTGATATGGCATCAGTGTAAGTCTTAAATAGACGACCCATCCACTTACGACTGAGAAAAGACCAAAAACGAATTTTTAAGTAACAAATAAAAGCAGATTCATCTCCTTTTGAAATAATGCAACACAAATCACATGTCCTGTTTTTTCTGTCTTTTATATAGTTAAAAAAGATATGACATATTCTGGAATCTCGTACTTTTAATTAAACCATCTCTAAAAAAAGACACAATATTAAAGAGTGTTGACTCTTTTGAGATGTAGATTGAAATGTGGGTCAGTATTTGTAAAAGTGGCATTATATGCTGTAATGAACTAACTCCCATAGTTTTTTTTAAACTTGTAAGCTGGTATAATTTCATTGGTAAATGAAATGCCCTTTAAAATGAGCTTCAGAATTGTATGTGTGTACTATGCATGTAAGTATTGATCAGGGTTTTGACCATTTGAATCACTGAAATGTATATGACTGTAGTTACTTACTACCACTTATAGCTCTTGCATAATCCTATTGAAGACAGAAGTGTTAAGATAGATTTCCCTCCACCATTGGCTATTAACAACAGGCCAAATAAATTTGGAAAATCTGACAATGATTTCTGCGACCTGAAATGGGTAATAAAAGTTAACAGTGGTAAAGCTTGCTTGAACTTGAATAGGGCATTTCTCTCACTGTTGTCCTGTATGTTGGTTCCTTCCACCAATGCTTTAGTGATACTTGTAATCAATGGGCATTTCTTCACAACTTTCTCACACACTGTATCAAAGTACTCATTTAGTCCACTTTTTTGCAAAGTAAAACGTTCCTTGGCATCGATTTTGCCAAGATCAATGCCGCTGAATTGATCAAAAAGCTTTATTTGTTCATGCAGTTGACAAGTCTGAGAAAGTGACAAAGAAACTGGAGACTCTTTGGTTGTAACAGTGGTGAAAAAGTTTTTCAAATCTGCTTTCTTTTGTAGTAAGTTGCTGTTTTGGTACTGATCTGTTTCCTTGTCAATGGCCATTAAATTGTCAAATACATATCTACATTAAATTAAGGCAAAATTTTTTATCCAAACAATCTTTTTTGATATCAAACAGTATTGCTGGTAAGAAAGGAAAAGTTAAGCAAAGGACAATTGTGATCTCTTTAAAAAATGAGGAATGTTATCACCACTAGGCAAGGGAGTATGAAACAATTAATTTTAAAAAACTCACTCAGATTAATTCAATCCGTTAATTTAATCCGTTTTCTTTCTACAGGAGGGTCTGCCTCCATAAATGCTTTTTCCAGTAGGTACGTCACAGTTCTTACATTGACCTCCATGCCGCACATCTTTTCTAACATGCTGCACACCTCCTGACAGAGAAGCTGGGATCCAGCCGCAGGCTTTAGAACCAATTTCAGGGAATGCAAAATTTGCTGTTCACAACCTCAGTTTATGCAGAAAATATTCTTATTAAAAAAAACACCCAAAAACATCACTACATTGTGTGTAAGTAAAACAAACGAAGCAAGAGGCTTGGAGCTCATGCGATTTTTATATTTAATTCAGGAGAAGTAAACTATAAACACGAGAAGTCTAGTGGTAATAAAATATAACCAACAGGTTGCTTTCCACAATTTAATGTGCAAAAGTTGAGAAAAAAAAAATATTTTTTACATTATGATAACTCATACTGCATTAAAAAGAAGTTACTTGAAAATTACCAAACAATTTGCTGTGCTTCTTTCTAGGTTGCGGGGCTTCCTTTGACTTTGTTGTCAAATCTCGTTTGCTCGATTCAGCTGTTCCTGGTAGAGCTAAAAAAACAAAATTTTTATAATTTTAGCGGATTACAGACGGAGACAATTCCCTTTCGATGCGCTTGAATAACAACACTAAGAGAAAGTCAAACTATTAAGTTATAATAAGCTGGAAGAGACATCTTACCTTCTTCCTTCGACGGTGTTTTCAGCAAACTAATCTGTTTCTTTCTAGGTTGCGGGGCTTCCTTTGACTTTGGTGTCAACTCTCGTTTGCTCGATTCAGCTGTCAAATCTCGTTTGCTCGATTCAGCTGTTCCTGGTAGAGCTAAAAAAACATATGTTTTATAATTCATTACGGAACGGCGCCTGCCACGTACCCAGACGTCTCTCTTTTGATGAAAATGTGCGCGCAAAGGAAGGCGGGAAGGAGACAACGGGCGAGACGTCTGGCAGATCTTGTTTTTAAGATGGCGGCAAGAGTAATGGCGGGCCAATATGCAATCTTTAAAATAAGTTCAGCCCTGTTCATTTGCGAATTTTGAGCAAATCATTGCCTATCCACGTCGTGTGTGTGAAGAGGAAGTTGTTTTCACCCGACACATTGGACTCGAGCATTATAATGTTTACTACCGAACTACATAATGTTTACTACCGAACTTTATATCGAAAAACTACTAGCCGCGGACGGGACAGTACTGCCTTTAATTTAATGAAACTGCCGCACGCCAAGGTAACAGCCGGTCAGGAAAGTTAGTAAGTTAGTAATCGTTTCTGTTAAGGTCCCCAGTGATGAAACGATCTATCTCTTCAGTCGAAGTGACAAATGGCGAGCTGAAAATTGTTGCAACAGTCAAATGAAGCCAAATATTTTGTAAAGCTTTAAAATACTATTTGCTGCACGCTGTATCTTGAGTACTCGAAAAGGCAACAAACCAGTCTAGTCTCAAGACCTCTAAGTTATGTTATGAAATAGATTATAAAATATTTTTTAAATCTGTTAAATTTTTGTCTCAGGATTTCCCATTGTGTATCATTTGCTCGACAATGTAAGCTTATGTACAGGAAAAACAGCCACAAAACTAGCTCCAGGTTTTTTTTACTTGTATTTTTTTATTGTTCGATTACCTCACTGGGTACTAGACTTGTCACTGAATGCACAGGCCAGTGTAAATAAAGTCTACTTACTTTTTATTTATATACCTCATTTTATGATGAAGCTGTGTCGAATGTGCACCAATTAACAATTAGTTCATGCGTCAGCGTGCGTATGTCGAGATATTGAGCACGCGGGAAGTTTGGAGAGCACGAAAGAGGCGTAAGAGTTGCACGAGGCGCAGCCGAGTGCAACTCTAGCCTCTTGAGTGCTCTCCAAACTTCCCAAGTGCTCAATATCTCGACATACGCACAGCTGCAGCATGAACTAATTGTTTTATAACATTATCAAAGCGATCAATGCAGCAGTTAACTGAAAATTTTATTATTGAAGGGGCGCGCTCAAAGCAGTACGCGTCAATGTTTACGTGAATATATCTTTTTTCCTCACAGTTAATCTTATGTTTTTATCCTGAAACTGAGAGAAAGTGTACTCTAAAATGATTGTAAAATCCATATTTAGGTGCCGGAAAACTATTAATTTACCGAAAAATTGTTATTGAGAGAAAACAACTTTGCAAAGAATGAGCTCACGCCATAGCCCGCACAGCTCGCGGAGATGACAACAACAACAACAACACTCACCTCTTTTCCTTACTATCGGTTAACAAATTCAAACGTTTCCTCTTAAATTTCTTTACAAAACACATGGTAAACGCTTCATTGTCTATTGCTGAGTTATGGATGCACTCAGGAGACTCAGGATTGCTAAGCTCACAACAACTCGAGGAATTACGAACAGTTTATTGACGTCATCAGCGTGCTCAATAGGAATATGAAGCACGCTCGCGCTATTGAATTTGATTAGGCGAATTTTCTAGCTATGTTATAAATACTTATTGTCTGTATTGTTTTTTATTTGTTTTTGTGATATTACACAGTAGACCAATTTGGTTTTGTTATGCTCTTTTATAACACATCATTTGTGTCTTAATAAATAGATTATTGGTAACTTTGGTTTTAATTTGATAGACAATTTTGTTATCCCGATCGAAGAGGGTGATGTAGTTGATGAGATACCATCGTAACTACCATTTGGCCAGGCAGGAGACGTTGCCCTAGACACTTTTTAAAGAAAATAATTGTGTTTGAATATTTCAAATTTCATGGCAAACAAGATGCTGTGAATGCCATTTTAGAGAATAATGATTGCATTATCCTAATGCAAACAGGTGGTAGGAAAGACTGAGTATTATGAAGTTCTTGGGATCATTCTACCCAGATTCAACATTGCTGTTCCTGTGATTGCTTATACATGGTTCCTTTCATGGCAAACCTGTGGTAGCATAAAATTCCCCTCAAAAGTCTTCTGAAGGGGTAGTTTTTGACCTGCTTTGGAGTTGCAGAGGAATACAAGATCATCTAATAATTATCAATGGACACAGAATTACCTTGAAATGCAAAAAACGTTAAGATAAGTATAGATGGTTCTGCATAACTACTAACCCCCAACCCCCTTCCTAGAAATTTTAACTACAAAATTATAATCAAGATACAAGCATGTGTAATGGAAAGAACAGTAAAAACAGGTCCCTGGACAAACTGGAAGAATATGCAGTAAAAAACACTACACTACACTATTAGTAGGCTGATGTCAGGTCTATTAACAGTGTCAAGCAATGAAAAATGCCAGCTGTTTGAAGTATGGACCAGAAGCTCAGCCATGCAAAACCCTCACCCCTTTCCATTGCTTCCACCTCACCCAGAGAAATAAAAAATGTTGCTCCTATTCCTTAAATTAGTGCCACTGGAAATTGAGTTGATGAATGTTTTATGAACTTCTGTCGTGATTATTGAACTGAGATGTGGTCAGGTCATTGAACTATGGTCAGCAAAAGAGAAAACCTGCACCCCTAATCCAACTTAAACTCGATCTAGCTGTCTTGTCCAAAGTAATAAAATACTTTGCTCCTATAATTCCTTTATTTTATACAATGGAAATTGGGTTGATGTGTATTTTTTTGAACTAATACTGTGATAAAAGCATGTGTACAGTTGCCGCTTCCCCTCAGAAAAAAATTGCTGTACATGGGCTACTGAGATTATTGAATGGGCATGTTGTCATTGAACTGACTTCTGTTAAAAAAAGGGTTAAGCCTTTTCCCCTTCTTCTACATTTGTGTGTCCCAACAAAGTTACATTGAGACCACAGACCTGGAGTTTGAATGAGATGTAATAGTGTGGTCATTGAATCATTGTGTTTTAACTGACCTATATACTTTATTCAACCTTTATTCAAACATTTTTAGTCTTGCAATAGGGGTGCCATCATGCCAGACATCTAGCTAAATAAAATTAGTAGTGTAACAATTAATCAAATTCTCGATTACCGTAATCGTGATTATGACCATTCAGTTCCATTCAGGATTCTTTGCTTCCGCATTTCGATTTTGGTTCGGTTTTTGCACACCTTTTCCAGGGTGCCCTCGGTGAGTTATTATATTCTAAAATAAGAATCCAGAACTCTTTAATGTGCGTTTTTGATTGACAGGCAAAGACAATAGCAGTTCGTGCGCCATTTTGAGTTGCCTGGCAAAAATAATGTCCTTCAACCTCCCCTTGAGAATTTCCAAATAAGGCAATAAACCATATGCAACACACTCTTTGTCAGGTTCTCAAACATGGTGACGAACCAAGCGACTGTGAATCCTCCCGTCTCTGTTACTATTCTTATTGTTCTTACTATTCTGTGGTTTCATAGTTAGTAACGTCGCAGACTTAAATCTTGGTGTAAGGACATAATGTGGTCTTGATAATCAACTCCTGACCTTGCACAATCTAGCTAGGCCTTACACTTCTTTCAATTCACAAGGTTACTTGCTCGTTGTTCGGTGGATTTCGCCTAAAAGAGCGAAAAATAGAAACATAGTCGCCGGCGCTGTACTTTACTAATCCGAATTCTGCAATAAACGACAAGTTAAATACCAAAATATAAGACTTACCCGATACCGTCAAGTCATCAATATTTTGTTAGAGGTCTTCGATTCGCAAAAATCCAGCAGAATCCGACTCCTTTGCAGCCTGTCGGTTATTTCTACCTCAGGTTTTGAAATTTTAAGCCATTCACCTGTCTACTCAAAGTTTACAATGTTTACAACAATATGCTACTAAAATTGATCGCTT